AGAGAGAGAGAGAGAGAGAGAGAGAGAGAGAGAGAGAGAGAGAGAGAGAGAGAGAGAGAGAGACAGAAGTTGATCGTGTGATACTGATGCTTCCTTGTCCTACTGTAGGGCCGTGCGGCTCCTCCACAACTTGATCGAGGTGAGGTCTTGTCCTGTGTTTTTGCATGTGTGTCAGGAGATAGACATGATTACTGGTTAACTTAGAGTCAGTCCTGCCAGACTAGAAGTGTGCCCTTGATGCTAAGCTGAATCGTGATGGAAATGAGCCCCAGTCACCGCTCGTAAGGCGAATGCCCAACGAAACAGCATCAAGGCGATCTATGATAGAGTGCGAAGAGCGAATAAAAGGGGTGGTTTACAGCACTACTAAACTAAAGTTAGCAGTACAAAGCTCCTCTAAAGCTCAGCTGGGCCAAACAGTCTTGGGAGTGACAATTTCCTATTACACCAGTACAATGAATGTCCCTGATACTTGTTTTGGGATACTAAGCCAGTGTTGCTGATACACAGGTAGTACTTGGGCTGTTTGATGAACTGAAGGGTTCCGATGAACGAGCGTGCGTGTCTGTTTGGTACATGCGTAGTTCCTTTACTCTGATACCACAACCTGCTTGTGGGCATCGGATGTCGTGAATTTGTGTTGTTGTCACCTCAGCTATTGCGGACTTGCTCTTGGATGCGGCAGCAGTCCTTGGTGGGGAGGCAACGGTAAAGCTGCTTGCCCAACCTTTGTTTCAGGTATGTTAGTGATGGCCGAGCCTCATGTGTCATGCTTGCTTCTTTTTTTTGTTTTATGGAGGGCATTTCAACTGAAGGTAACAATTCGAGGGCCCCTTGGCCATGGCTGAGTGGTCCTGCTGCTCTTTCTCTCTCATACACGCACACACACAATATGACTCAACTACCCCCCTGTGTGTGTGTGTGGAGGTTGGCAGCGGATGGGGTGGTGCAGACTATAGTACTTTGGAGCCTCATTTTCCTAATGCTTAATTTTTCTGGCACACGGGGTGGTGTAGACCGGAGTACTTTGGGGCCTCATTTTTCTAGTGTTCAGTTTGTCCCGCTCCTGGAGTGCCAAACAATTCTCAGGGTCGGGAGAAGGCGAGCTTAGCCCAAAGAAGAGCAGCATCCTAAAATGCTAGCACAACGTACCCCAAAGAAGAGCAACATTCTAAAACGCTAGCACACGGGGTGGTGTAGACCAGAGTACTTTGGGGCCTCATTTTTTTAATGCTCAGTTTTTCCCGCTCCTGGAGTGCCAAACAATTGTCACGATTGGAAGGAGGGGAGCGTACCGCTGTACCCCAAAGAAAAGCAGCATTCTAACACACTAAGCTGTACTGGCACTGGAAAGGACCACATGCTTTCTATGTTGGAAGTTGCCTGGCTTTTGAAGTTGTGATCTATAAGTAACTCAGCGTGACAGTTTAACTTTGCAACTCATTGGGTGCTGTCATTTGTGGTTCGAATCGGTGATAGTTTTTTAACTTAGCTAATCTTAGTCTTTTTCCCTTTCTGGCAGTTCTGCTACTCTTGTACAGGTGCCATACCAATCCTCTGTATTTATCGTTTTTTCTTCTTATTTTCAAGTCTCTAACAGATACGTTGAAGGACCAAGCACCGTCTGTCTGTCCTGTCTTGTTAGCCCATGAAAGCAGTTCCCTCTGCACGTGTGTGATTGGACTATGGTTCCCTTGCTCTGCATTGGCAAATCGCCAATTCCTTTTTGTTTATTATTTTTTCTCAAACAGGTCCTTATGGTCCTGTGTTACATCTTCGACTAGGACCCGACTTAGGGCCGGAGGGACACACCAGGGCCTAAAGGCCCGACCTTTGGGGTTACAGGCCCTAAAGGCCTGATTTTGGACCAGCACCCATTGGGTAGGCCCAAACGACACTTCGTTTGGGCCTGGCGGCGCTCTTGAAGCTGCCGCCCGCCGATTGAGGCTGAACCGTCCATCTGGACGGTCCAGGGTCTGGCCTGGCCTCGCAGCATTGAGGCCAGAC